ACTTCAGGAAACGGAAGGGCATAGGATTCACTCCCCTTCCTTACGTGTCAGTTAAAGTGTTTGGAGATTGTCATAATAGGGTGGTAAGCTCTCACTAGAGTAACTCAGAGCTTCCTTTCCTTTCTCCTGACAGCTGAACAGAGAGGTGGGGGAGTGAAAGAATATGTGTGGGGGGGGGGGGGGGGGGGGGGGGGGAAATTAAAGCAGAACTAAAGTTTAAAAAAGTGCAAGCAGGTAGGCTCTGTCTCTTCTGCAAGAGAACACACTTACCCGCCTGTTCACAAACCTCTTTAGAATGTACACAGAGCTGTGCTTGTGCAGCTTAGTGTACATTCTTGACACTCCTTAGTGCTGGAATGAACTTGCGTCTGTATAGGTGCGATTCACTCCTGCTGGTTAATCAAGGTGGCTGAAGACCTTGCATGTGAAAGAAGCATGTTGGTGCCTATGAGGGAACTTGCCAACATTACATCACAGGAATGGAGGTATTGGATGACTTTAGTTCCGCTTTAAGAAGAACCTGTTGGTATGTCCTGTATGGTCAGATCACAGATGTTTGTTAAAGAGCCCAAACCAATAGAAGTAACTAATTTGAAAGAATTGAAATATCTTCTACATATCATCCTACAAATTAAAATACTAAGCACAGAAAGAAAGGACTGTACACTGAAAGCAGAAATGACATACAACAGATTACACAGGGACCCTAATTCACCTCCAACACCACAATGTACTATATATACACCATTTGTTCTAGAAGGCACTAGTCCTATGTTACACAAAAATGACAGGTTATACTGCACAGCACTGACAGTGGATGCCTGTAATCTATGAATGCTATAATTCCATGTAAAAAGGAAGGTTGTTTTAGATATCACTACTCTTATTTATCACATGCCATAATGTTTCCCTTTACAGATAGCTCAAAAGGAACCATATCTCCGATTGGGAAGTATGCTTTTCAATAAAGACAAGCAGGCTTTCTTCATAGAGAGTACACATTCCAGCTGTAGCACATAAAGGGGTGTGCGTACACTTCACACGCCGGAGACTGATGGCTGAGAAATAACACGTAAGCAATGTGTCTGTTTTGAGTAGGATAACACGTGTAAGCTCAGCTGGGATATTACATTACAGCACATGGAGACAACAGCAATACATGATTCTACAAGGAGCCTGGCGGATATCACACAACTGGAGGACTAGGTGTAACAGCATGCACACAGCCACCAGAAAAGCAATGCTGCAGTTCCTTAACAGTTGAAGGAACATGGCAGAAAGAGATGACATCCTGTACTCATGTAGCACTGATAAAGAAACATACAAACAAGCATTCAGACAAAAGAAGCACAGAAGAAACATTGGAGCTGAACACAGCATATGGCTACACACTGGTATGAGTCAGTCTATGAACAAATCCAGCTGTTTATAGTTTATACAAGTGTGGACTCTAAATAGCAGATCTTCTTATCACTGGAAAATGGAATGATCAGACCACGGTGTGATCTGCCAACAGCTGGAAACATCACTTAACCACCACATAATTGGGATTTGCTGCAGCGACTCAACTGTCAATGCAACTGTCAAACTTAAATCAGCTGTGTCCCTGGAAAATAATGCCAGGTGTACATCCAGCTCAGCAGACATGGCCAGAATGAAGGACACCTCCATCAATCTGAACAGAAAATGGTTATACAGGGAACATGGGCAACGCACAATAACTGACAACTTAGAGGAAAACCAGAGAACAGCAACTTCCTTAGTTTGCTGGCTCATAGGGATTGACAGGTCACTCACACCTTTGCCAATCAGTTGTCACTGATATCAGAAGTGCATTACACCTAGAAGTTGAGCCTTTCAAGGATTATTATATTGTCACTGATAACAGAATGACGGACAGCACACAGGCCAGTAAGACCCATGCTGACATTATTTAATATGATTCATACACTGGGGATACCGCAGACTAGCACACTTCTGGTTATGGGGCCCCCAGGCTGGCAGAACACTCCTGGCCATGGGGACACTCAGGCAGACAGTACTTTGGGTAAGTCCTCTCTCCCCCCCATGCTGATGGTGCCCCCCCAGACTGGCAGAACCTGGGTCCTGGGTTATTATGGGAACTACTGGGTATTGGTCCACTCAGGCAAGAAGTCCTCCATGGTATGCCCCCCCCAGGGGCAGCACTCCGCATGGGGCCCCCCAGGCTGGCAGCACTCCTGGCTATGGGGGCACTCAGACAGACAGTACTTTGGGTCTCCTAGATTGTAAGCTCGAAAGAGCAGGGCCCTCGATCCCCTCATGTTTTGCATTGTATTGGTATTGTTCTGACATGTTCTGTCCCCCAGACATGTACAGCGCTGAGCGAACTATTGGCGCTTTATAAATACTGTATAATAATAATATGTGTCCTCTCTCCCCCCCCCCCAAATTGGCAGTCCTCCTGGGTATGGTGCCCCCCAGACTGGCAGAACTACTGGGTATTGGTCCACTCAGGCAAGAAGTCCTCCATGGTATGCCCCCCCCAGACTGGCAGAACTCCTGGGCATACCCCCAACCCCCAGAATGGCTTTACTCTGGCTAGTTCTCCTGGGTATGGGGACCTTCAGGCAGCTAGTTCTCCTGGGTATGGGGGCCCCCCAGACTGGCAGAACTCCTGGGTATGGGGGCCCCCAGACTGGCAGAACTCCTGGGTATGGGGCCCCCTCAGACTGGCAGAACTCCTGGTTATGGGGCCTCCTCAGACTGGCAGAACTCCTGGGTATGGGGCCCCCTCAGACTGGCAGAACTCCTGGGTATGGGGCCCCCTCAGACAGGCAGAACTCCTGGGTATGGCCCCCCCCAGACAGGCAGAACTCCTGGGTATGGGACCCCCCAGACAGGCAGAACTGCTGGATAAGGGCCCCCCCCAGACAGGCAGAACTGCTGGATAAGGGCCCCCCCCCCCCCCCCAGACAGGCAGAACTGCTGGATAAGGCCCCCCCCCCAGACAGGCAGAACTGCTGGATAAGGGCTCCCCCCCCCAGACAGGCAGAACTGCTGGGTATGCCCCCCCCCCCCCCCCCCGACAGGCAGAACTGCTGAGTATGGCCCCCCCCCCCCCCCCCCCCGACAGGCAGAGCTGCTGGGTATGGCGGCCCCCCCCCCCCCGACAGGCAGAACTGCTGGGTAGGGCCCCCCCCCCCCCCCCAGACAGGCAGAGCTGCTGGGTAGGGCCCCCCCCCCAGACAGGCAGAGCTGCTGGGTATGGGCCCCCCCCCCACACAGGCAGAACTGCTGGGTATGGGCCCACCCCCCAGACTGGCAGAACTGCTGGGTATGGGCCCACCCCCCAGACTGGCAGAACTCTTGGGTATGGGCCCACCCCCAGACTGGCAGAACTCCTGGGTATGGGGCCCCCCAGACTGGCAGAACTCCTGGGTATGGGGCCCCCCAGACTGGCAGAACTCCTGGGTATGGGGACCTCCAGACTGGCAGAACTCCTGGGTATGGGGTCCCCTCAGACTGGCAGAAACTCTGGGTATGGGGTCTCCTCAGACTGGCAGAACTCCTGGGTATGGGGCCCCCTCAGACTGGCAGAACTGGCAGAACTCATGGGTATGGGGCGCCCCCTCAGACTGGCAGAACTCATGGGTATGGGGCCCCCCTAGACTGGCTCTACTCTTGGTATGTGACCTCCCCCCAGACTGGCAATCGTCCTGGGAATAGGCACACCTAGACTGGCAGAACTCCTGAGTATGGTGCCCCCCAGACTGGCAGAACTCCTGGGTATGGGGCCCCCCAGACTGGCAGAACTCCTGGGTATGGGGCCCCCTCAGATGGCAGAACTCCTGGGTATGGGGTCCCCTCAGACTGGCAGAACTCCTGGGTATGGGGCCCCCTCAGACTGGCAGAACTCCCCCTCAGACTGGCAGAACTCCATGGGTATGGGGCCCCCCCAGACTAGCAGAACTCATGGGTATGGGGCCCCCTCAGACTGGCAGAACTCATGGGTATGGGGCCCCCCTAGACTGGCATAACTAGTCGGTATGGCCCCCCCCCCCAGACTGGCAGAACTGCTGGGTATGGGGCGCCCTCAGACTGGCAGAACTCCTGGGTATGCCCCCCCAGACTGGCAGAACTCATGGGTATGGGGCCCCCCAGACTGGCAGAACTCCTGGGTAGTGGGGCCCCCCAGACTGGCAGAACTCCTGGGTATGGGGCCCCCCAGACTGGCAGAACTCCTGGGTATGCCCCCCCCAGACTGGCAGAACTCCTGGTATGGGGCCCCCCAAACTGGCAGAACTCCTGGGTATGCCCCCCAGACTGGCCCCCCAGACTGGGGGCAGACTGGCAGAACTGCTGGGTATGGGGCCCCCCAGACTGGCAGAACGCCTGGGTATGGGGGGCCCTCAGACTGGCAGACTGGGGAAGTAGAACTCCTGGGTATGGGGCCCCCTCAGACTGGCAGAACTCCTGGGTATGGGGCCCCCCTCAGACTGGCAGAACTCCTGGGTATGGGGGCCCCCTAGACTGGCAGAACTCCTGGGTATGGGGCCCCCTAGACTGGCAGAAACTGCTGGGTATGGGGCCCCCTAGACTGGCAGAACTCCTGGGTATGGGGGCCCCCTAGACTGGCAGAACTAGTGGGTATGGGGCCCCCTAGACTGGCAGAACTCCTAGGTATGGGGGCCCCCTAGACTGGCAGAACTCCTGGGTATGGGGCCCCCTAGACTGGCAGAACTCCTGGGTATGGGGGCCCCCTAGACTGGCAGAACTAGTGGGTATGGGGCCCCCTGGACTGGCAGAACTCCTGGGTATGGGGGCCCCCTAGACTGGCAGAACTCCTGGGTATGGGGGCCCCTGGAATGGCAGAACTCCTGGGTATGGGGCCCCCTAGACTGGCTCTACTCTTGTTATGTGACCTCCCCCCAGACTGGCAGTCTCTCAGGCAGGCAGTACTGTGTATAGGCAGTGCCCCCTTCCCGTATGTTCAGCTCCCAGGCCCCTGTCTCTCTCACCTCGAACATGAGCCCGAGCAGGAACAGCATGGCCAGGCAGGAGACGATGTCGGCGTGGTTCTGGATGATGAACTCATGGCTCAACACCGGCGGGGTCTTACTGCTCTTCTTGCGGATGCCCATGATGACGGATGGCGCCTGTGTCTCGCACTCAGCAGGGACAGCGGGGCACAGACAGGGCTCTGCCTCCTCCGCCTGGGATGACGCTGTACACACTGACTGCTCTCACCACGTCAGCACTCCGGGGAGGAGCTTCGCCCTGCAAGGCTTCACATGACCAGGGATGCAACGTGTCCGACGCGCCATGTTGGTCACTGGAAAGCCCGTACACCTCTCTAAGCTGGCGACACTGAGGTCTCCAGCTTCTGTGCAAACACAAGTCCCAGCGTTCAGGAGTGTGTACCCACCACAGAAATGAAACATTACCTGCAACCATGGCCTGTGATCAATTGCTGAGTGTTTGTGTGTGGATTGTGTGGGTTACATTTCTAAACATTTGTCTTCAGAATCCTTCTCTCTCATACATACTAGTGATGCACTAACTTTACTGGAAAACACGTAATTACTGTGTTGCCAGTACTTTACTGTTAATAAATGCAATCTGCCAGTAGTAAAGATGGATATTTAAGCCGCGACGTCCCCAGATAGTGAGACGTCGCTTTATGGAGTGTGTTCTGGGCGGGGTTTGTGTGGTCCAGTAAGGATGTGGTTGTCCGCGGTTGGCTGCTTGTCCTATCACGTAGCTGTGTGTTCCCTCACTGTGCGCTGTGCTGGGGATTAGACGCTGTGTTTTGTGCGGCCTGCTGATGGACTTCCATAGACGGGGAGGGATGTCCTGTGTGATCTGATCACAGCCTGCTACCGCCAATTATGCGCCGTTTGTGTGGACAGCCCAGAGCCCCACCGAGCGTCCGCTTTAAATACATTCCAAACAAAATGTGTTCAAAGTCTGCCGACCAATTGACTGCCCTCTGCCAGCATGCTACGGAGAGGGACCCTGACTGGGGAAGCAATGGGCTCTCTGCAGGCCTGGAGAGTTGGGGAGCCAGAGATTAGGGCGAGGAGAGGGCCGATAGTGCCATACTTTGTTCAGTGCATGAAGTGGATTCAATGGTACACATCGTTCCCTGTCACCAGATATCCTAGAGTACCTAGATGGCAAGATGTGCCCGGCCCTACCCCCAGATGACCAGTCTTAGCGTCTGTCATACATGAACACACAGCACCTTCACCCTAGGAGATATCCGGCCCTATCACCAGATGACCAGTCCCAGCGTGTGTCATACGTGAACGCACAGCACCTCCATCCTAGGAGATACCCGGCCCTACCCCAGATGACCAGTCTTAGCGTGTGTCATACATGAACACACAGCACCTTCATCCTAGGAGATATCCGGCCCTATCACCAGACGACCTGTCCCAGCGTGTGTCATACGTGAACGCACAGCACCTCCATCCTAGGAGATACCCGGCCCTACCCCCAGATGACCAGTCTTAGCGTCTGTCATACATGAACACACAGCACCTTCATCCTAGGAGATATCCGGCCCTATCCCAGATGACCAGTCCCAGCGTGTGTCATACGGGAACGCACAGCACCTCCATCCTAGAAGATACCCGGCCCTACCCCCAGATGACCAGTCCCAGAGTGTGTCATACGTGAACGCACAGCACCTTCATCCTAGAAGATACCCGGCCCTACCCCCAGATGACCAGTCCCAGCGTGTGTCATACGTGAACGCACAGCACCTTCATCCTAGAAGATACCCGGCCCTACCCCCAGATGACCACTCCCAGCGTGTGTCATACGTGAACACACAGCACCTTCATCCTAGAAGATACCCGGCCCTACCCCCAGACGACCAGTCCCAGCGCGTCATACGTGAACACACAGCACCTTCATCCTAGAAGATACCCGGCCCTACCCCCAGATGACCAGTCCCAGCGTGTGTCATACGATATAGGTGTCCGTTTGTGAACCAGCGGTAATAGATCGCTGCTCAGTTCTCCGGCATTCTCGGAGAACAAAGTTCTCCTGTGAATGCAGTTTATGAAGCAGTTCTCCGAACGAAGGGGGAAGAACGGTTTCCAAACGCTGGAGAACGGTCTACAAACTCTGAAAAACGGCTCATTTTACTATAATCTCTCCAGATTATAGTAAAAGACCAGTTTACTAAGCAGAGGTAAATTATCTCTGCTTAGTTTTCGGTCCCTCTGATTCTCCAGCTCTGGGCTGGAGAATCTGGACGGAGAACACAGATCTCCAGAGAAGGGCTGACATGATCTCCTGAGTGTTATAAACTGTGAATGACCAGAGAATAGCTGAGATCCGTTGAATCGCAGCTATTCTCTGTGTCATAAAAGGACACCAAAATTGCTTGTAGGTGGGTGGGCAAGGGGTTGTAAAAATGTGGAACAACCTCCTGTTTTTTTTACCACGCCTTGGCCACCTGTGTGACAGGAGCCTTACTTTTTAATTTTATACAATTATTATAGCTTTATATTAGTTTTATACTATAATTCAAAGTGATTACAAAAGTTTCTGTTCCTAGATTGTAAGCTCGAAAGAGCAGGGCCCTCGAACCCCTCGTGTATTGTTTTACTGTATTGTCTCGTACTGTCCCCCACTATAATGTACAGATCTGAGCAAACCTTTTGGCGCTATATAAATACTGTATAATAACGACCAGTCCCAGCATGTGTCATACGTGAACACACAGCACCTTCATCCTAGAAGATACCCGGCCCTACCCCAGACCCCAGACGACCAGTCCCAGCGTGTGTCATACGTGAACACAGCGCCTCCATCCTAGAAGATACCCGGCCATACCCCAGACGACCAGTCCCAGCATGTGTCATATGTGAACACACAGCACCTTCATCCTAGAAGATACCCGGCCCTACCCCAGACGACGAGTCCCAGCATGTGTCATACGTGAACACACCGCACCTCCTTCATCCTAGAAGATACCCGGCCCTACCCCAGACGACCAGTCCCAGCATGTGTCAGATGTAAACACACCACACCGCCTTCATCCTAGAAGATACCCGGCCCTACCCCCAAACGACCAGCCCCAGCATGTGTCAGACGTGAACACACAGCACCTCCATCCTAGAAGATACTCGGCCCTATCCCAGACGACCAGTCCCAGCATGTGTCATACGTGAACACACCGCACCTCCTTCATCCTAGAAGATACCCTGGCCCTACCCCAGACGACCAGTCCCAGCATGTGTCAGACGTGAACACACAGCACCTCCATCCTAGAAGATACCCGGCCCTACCCCAGACGACCAGTCCCAGCATATGTCAGACGTGAACACACCACACCTCCTTCATCCTAGAAAATACACCTTGTGTCAGGGGTGGACTGACAACTCCTTGGGCCCCCGGGCAATAGGGGATCATGGGGCCCCTGTGTCCTTGCCCAAACTCAAAAAAGCCTATGAAAAAGGTACCAGGGAAATCTCATGGGGCCTCCTACTGACCCCGGGCCCTCGGTCAGTGCCCGAGTTTCCAAATGGTCAGTCCGCCCCTGCTTTGTGTACAGCTACCCGTGATTGGCCCCCTACCCACCCTATCTCTGCATCTCTGTCCCCGCCTCCTGTCACCTCTCCCCCCTCCCCCTTTTACCTATGTACCCTTATCCCACTCCTTGTCACCTCATCCCTAATCCTGCCCCCTGTCACCTCTATCCTTGCCCCCTGTTACCTCTAAGTACCCTTATCCCCATCCCCTGTCACCTCCATGTACCTCCATCCCCACCCCCTGTCACCTCCATGTACTTCCATCCCCGCCTCCTATCACCTCCATCCCCGCCCCCCCTGTCACTTCCATGTACCTCCATCCCTGCCCCCTGTCACCTCTGTACCTCCACCCCTGTCACCTCTATGTACCGCCATCCCCGCCCCCTTTCACCTCTATGTACCCCCATCCCTGTCACCTGTATGTACCTCCTTCCCCGCTACCTGTCACCTCCATCTCTGCCCCCTGTCACCTCCATGTACCTTCATCCCTGTCACCTCTATACCTCCATCCCTGTCACCTCTGTACCTCCATCCCCGCCTAGTCACCTCCATGTACCTCCATCCCCGCCTCCTGTCACCCCTGTACCTCCATCCCCGTCCCCTGTCACCTCTATGTACCTCCATCCCTGCCTCCTGTCACCTCTATGTACTGCCATCCCCGCCTCCTGTCACCTCTATGTACCTCCATCCCCGCCCCCTGTCACCTCTATGTACCTCCATCCCCACCTTCTCTCACCTCTATGTACCTCCATCCCTGCCCCTGTCATCTCTATGTACCTCCATCCCCGCCCCCTGTCACCTCTATGTACCTCCATCCCCACCACCTGTCACCTCTACACCCTGTTCCAAATTATTATGCAAATTCTATTTAAGTGTCACAAAGATGAAATATTTTGTTTTTCAGTTTAACTCATGGATGGCATTGTGTGTCAGGGCTCTTTTGATCACTGAAAACAATCTCGGACACCTGTGATAATTAGATTGGCAGGTGAGCCCAATTTAAGGAAAAACTACTAAAGGAGGGTGTTCCACATTATTAAGCAGAGCACCATTTTCAAGCAATATGGGGAAGAAAAAGGATCTCTCTGCTGTCGAAAAGAGTTAAATAGTTCAATGCCTTGGATAAGGTATGAAAACATTAGATATTTCATGAAAACGTAAATGTGATCATCGCACTATTAAGAGATTTGTGGCTGATTCAGAGCACAGACGGGTTCGTGCAGATAAAGGCACATTGAGGAAGATTTCTGCCAGATCCATGCACTGATCAAGAGAGCAGCTGCTAAAATACCATTACATAGCAGCAAACAGATATTTGAAGCTGCTGGTGCCTCTGGAGTCCCATGGACATCAAGGTGTAGAGTCCTCCTGAGTCTTGCAACTGTGCATACACCTTCTATTTGGCCACCACTAACCAATGCTCACAAGCAGAAATGGCTGCATTGAGCAGAAAAATACATGAAGACTAATTTTCAAACAGTCCTGTTCACTGATGAGTGCCGTGCAACCCTGGATGGTCCAGATGAATGGAGTAGTGGATGGTTGGTGAACAGCCACCCTGTTCCAACAAGGCTGCAACGTCAGCAAGGTGGTGG